AGGATATCAGATGTAACTAAAGGGACATTATATTAGTTTCTCAATGGTTCGAATTAATCACTATTTTAGAGGAAATAACCATTGGAAAAGAGTGGCAGATTTTCATACAAGAGCTGGCTATAAATGCTACTATGTTTCAATGGGTAATTAACAAAGAATGATTATCATTTCCCTCTTTACGATCTCTAACTTTGTATTAGGTTTTTCACATAAGAAATTCAGACAAAAAGATGAGGATTATGTTGACAAGTCAATCTACACAAAGGCATTAATGTAAGAAGAACTAATAAAGTATTGAAAGCTTGTCCTCAACTTGTCTGAACTTTAAAGAACCTTTAATCAAAAGTTAGCAAGTTGATAAAAAAAAGATAATGACGTGACCTAATTGTTATATAATATATCATGTAAATTTAAAATTTATATAATTAGAAAAGACTAATTTTTAATGTTTAAGAAATATTTTTAAAAAATGAATTAATTATAATTTGATTAAATGATCAAAAATAGTGAAACATTTCCACATCGATCACATAGATGTAAGATAATATCTAATACTATTTCAGAATTTTTTTTAAAAATAAAATATTTAATAATTTTAAAACTAAATGATGAGAAAATATATAAAATTAACAAAAAAAGAAACTTTGAGTGTGGACGTCAAGATGACATATAGTGCTCGATCAACTAAATTTAGGCAGAAGTAGACTTTCACTTGAAAATTCTTACATAAATAATTATAAATGACTTAATTGATTAAATTAAAATCTATAAAAATAAGAAGAATCTTAATTGAATGAAGAAGATTTTAAAAAATTTAAATCATAAAAAATCCCACTAAATTAAGTAAAAATTAAGTTTAAAATAAGAAAGATGAAGTTATGAGTTTGTGACAACAATTGATGGAATTCTACATTCGAGAGGATTATCATATGATATTAATGGCCTCAAGGGTTTTTCTAGGACATGGACAATGTGAGCAATCTCTAGATACTCTTTAAAAGTCTAGAAGTTAATAAAATGGATTAACTCTAGCTTATGGCACTCAACAAAATATAAAAATAGTGACTTTTGACTTTGTGATATCTATCATCTGATGGAGATAAACTAAATGAAAGTAAAGTGCATCTTAAGAAACTTCATCTTTAAGTTCCCATAGAAAAAAGAGCCTCTTCATCATATCTAGTATACTCTTAAGAGGTGGTGACTCATCTCTTAACATATCATCCTCTTTCTAATAACAACTCATTCATCAATCAATTAGAAATGATTTTTTTTATGGATTTAAATCTTTTTTGTCTACAATCATTTAATAGTTGGTAACAATACTTTGTGCATTGCATAGACTACATTTCTACTATTAATTGAGTAATTTTGATGACTTAATTATTGACTGGCATTCTATAAGAGAATCATGATTTAATGAGATAAAAATAAAAATTTTGACACTAATGTGATTTCAACCTTTGCCAATCACCTATTGTTTGAGAGAGAGTTAAATAAATATGCAAATACCTTTGTCAATGGACATCATAAGGGTACGTGATAAGTCTTCATTATCATGAGTTAATAATTAGTAAATAATATAGTTTTAGCCTTAAATCATGATAAATAGACTTATATTTGTGTTAAAGTGTGAAAAGTGTTTTTTAGTTGATTAACGTAATTTTTTTGGTAATTATGTGATTTTATACGAATTTATATGATTTTTATAGTCTTACTCTTAAGATAAATGAAGAAAAAGAAATAAAATAAAAATATAGCAAAAAAGGGGACCCACCGGCCAGCCGAGCCCACAAGTGAGTTGGAAGCATAGTTAAGGAGGAGCTGTGAGTAGGGGCTCGAGTGGCTAAGATCGACAGGGACACATGTGCACCACTCTCCTTCCACATCACCAATGGCCAATTGATTGTGGGGCAAGGAATGATTGTACACCCGCGAGAAAGGGACTTACTTGTAAATGTAATATTACTATATATTTACCTAAAACTTTGATGCACAAGCGATGTGGGACTAAACATGCATTACACCTTCCCCAGAAAAGGTTTGATGATTGTAATACCTAAAATATTCCTTATTTATAACAAAGATATATCATGATGATGTCATTTTATAAGGGCATTAGATTAGTTATGTTAATCTCTCTCATGTAGGTGGGCAACCGGCACAAGTTTGAATCCTCCCAGATCTAAAACTCATATTTTTTTATCTGATTATTGTGACTTTCTTACAAATTACTAGTGAAGGATTAAGCCACCAAAATCACTAGATCATTGGCAAAAATCTCGTCAACACAATTCGCGAAGTATTATTACTAAATATGTTGAACGATTCGTGATAAAAGGATCGTGAATCCATCGAGTAAAGTATCTTCGATTAATCGACGAACAAGCCATTATCAGAAAGAGGACGATCTGCTGGGAGATAAGTTACCGCCTCCTAAAAGTGTACCAGATGCAATTAAGAGCCTCCTCTTACTATGCAGACCTGAGGATGAAGTTCCCCGACACGTGCCTCACCTCCATCTAACTCCTCTCCATCAAGTGACAGTCACTAAAGAGCAGCAAAGTCGTTATTTTTTTACTCCATCGGGTGACAACTGCCGAAAATGATTTGACAACCCATTTCATTGATCTCTAAACTTTACAAGGAGATCTAAAGATTGCCCACGTCATCCTTGTTTAAAGAGAGTCTTCAAGATTGTAGACACTACATGACAACCCTCCTGAACATTCAAGATTTTAGTGTATCATCGACACATTGTCGCCGCAATGTCAAAACCCTATTTTCCTACTTTCATCTTATTTTTTGTTTTATTTAGTAATAATTTATGTGATTTAAATTTATCAAGATATACTTCATTCAATTATAATTCTTTTTACTTTTACAGATCTCAATTTGATTAGTTAAATCGTCTGTAATCACTTACGTAAGAATCATTAAATAGAACTCTATTTCCGCTCGATTCGTATTTGCTGGGCACTAATGTCATCTTAACGTTCGCACCCTTATTTCCCTTTTTTGTGAATTTTAAATATATTTTATTTTTATTTCCTAATATAAAATTTATAGAAAATAGTATTCTTTAAAAAAAATTAAATAATTACTCAATATTATATTACATTCATGTGATTGACCTGAAAAATTACTACTTTTTTTAGAAGTTTTATTGAATTATAATTAATATATTTATTCATAAATACTTCTAAATATCTAAAAATTCATATTTTTTAGTTTTATAAATTTTAAATTTATGTGATTTACTATAGAACAACTAAGTCACATCAGTACCTTCTTATAAAATAGGAGTACTTTAGGTATTACAATTATTAATAACCTATCAATGAGTAGTGACATAAGTTTAGTCTCACATTTGCTTATTCTTTTTGTTTTGAGACAAATATATAGTAATTAATATCTTTTTGTATACTAAGTATTGTCTTTTCACTTGTATGGCCACTCTTTACCCCATGCCTAGTTATCTCAAAAATATGATTATAAAAAATATATAAATTAATTAGCCAAAAATTCACATTAACCAACTAAAAATCAATTTTCTCAATTTAACATAAAAAAAGCCTTTAAGTAAGACATGAGTTAAGGCTTAAAATATATTATTTAATAATAATTTCAAGTATTCGTCTTTAATTGAAGTGGCAATTATAAAAATTATGTAATTGAATTAACATATTGGTTCACAATTATTTGAAAGAATCATCTATTATCACATGATTCATATCACTCATTAAAAATGAAAATCATTCTTTTCCCTATTTGGTGCATAAATTTGAGGAGAACTTGAGAAATGTAATTATTCAATCTTAATGTCTCTCAAAGTCATTCATTCATTGTTGGCAAGAATTCTACAGCAGCTTAGACACCTAGGAACACCCTAAGTTAATGTTTAGGTTGACTTTCGTAATTTCCTATAAGAAAGCTTTTCTCTCTTGGCTAGTTAGGTAAAACTATTTTTTTCTGGTTGATCTTCATGAAGATACCATGATACTTTTGGAAAAGCTGGCTTTCGTTGTTGTAGGAACATAACGTGATATTTCAATAATTTTCAAGGGCATAAAGTATTTCTTAGGACTCACTTTGTGAAACTGCCTATGTCATAAGTAATAAAGGGTAAATGTCAACACCAAATGCTGAAGAGTCAAGACCTGTGGATTATAGACAAGTGTTGGTTGACCTAGTGTTAACATAGTGTACATTATTTAAGCAATATGCCATACTAAGGCTTGTTTTGAGATAGTCCAACTCTTGAGACCCACTATGATACTTCTACTGGCTGATGCTTGTGTGTTTTAATTAGGTATAGACGAACAAGAAGACAAGACTGATGGCTCAGATTTATGTCAACAGTACTGAATTTAAGCTCCAATAAAGAACGGGGGAAAAAACTAATTTAGTCTAATGCTGATCCCTGCCTTGGGTTATCTATTTACCCAATAAAAGTATACTTTCCAATGTTGAGGTCTTCATTACCCTCAGTCAGTACAAATCATAATCGAATCTTAATTGCTGTCTTAGAAAATGAAGGTCTTCTCTTTCTCCGTCTACTATTCTTAAAGCAAACGTAAGACTCGGGATATACTCCTATGCAGTCGATAATTAAGCTGACTATATTAAATATTGATCGCATCCTTACACAACTAATTCTCCCAAGTTCGTATACACAACCATTTTAACCTTTCTGACGCTTATTGTGTACCTTGTGAACAAAAGGAAAATTTGCAGACAGCATAAAATCCTGGATTTACAGCAATATAAAATGAGAGTTACAACGGAACACTTTGATGGCCGAAAGAGATACCGAATTGTAAGAGCAGTAATAGCAATTTCTAAAATACTAAATGCATAGGATTTCACACCGAAATCGTGTGGTCCCTTTCCGAACACCACAGTGACGAATGATGCATCAGACTTACAACAGAAAATGAGAGCACTTGGACATTAACGGGAAAGATGTTCAAGTATCTTTCCTAGGCGCGTCTTCCTGTCTAAGCGTAGTTACACATGCCGTATCGGCAGTTGTTACCCTTCTCGCACCGCCGGTTGCACGCGCCGCAGTTACTTCGGTTGAAAAGGATGTTTACGCAGGTCCCCAGGCAGCAGGCTTCCTCGTACCTGCACCTCTTCCCGCAGCGCCCGCAGTTCATGGTGTCCGTCCTGAGGTTCACGCAACGCTTTCGGCAGCAGTTCCGGCCTGGGCTGCCGATAACCCGGCAGACCTTGGGAACCCGGTCGCAGGTCAAGGTGGCCTGACGGCTACCGTAGCGGAGCAGCCGCCGGAGGGAGAACACCTTTTCTGCTTCGTCTGGTGCCCCCACGCCGCTTTCTTCGTTTTCGGTAACTGGAGGGATTGGGTTAGCTATCGATAGAGCCACACCCAGGAGTAAGGAGACGACGAGAAAGTACAAGAGAGCTTTGCCCATCTTTGTTATTCCAGTGCAGCGGAGAACTTTATACCTGGTTCGTTGGGCACTCGAAGAGAGAGTTTAGTTTTGAAGAGAGAAGATGATGACGACGATGATGCATTTATATCGATGGTTGGGTTAACTACCTTACGGAAGTAGTTGAAGAAGGAAGAAGCCAGGTGTATTGTCGACGAAAAATGCAGTCAAACTCCGCCCTCGCCTGATTTCTACCAATTTAGTCGGCGCGCATAAAGACTGAAGTTAGGCATCGCCGGAGTAGGAAGCGCTGAGATTTCCGGTTCACATAGTGCCAAACGCTGTTTAGCGACCTCGTGTGCGCTTCTTTACGAGGCATGTGCACACGAGCTGCGAGGACTTCTTCATGTGTACAGGAGCATGTGTGAGAACTATAGGTACCAAATCCAAGTTGAGGTTTTGTACTATCGTGTTTCTCTCTTCAAAACTATAGGTACCCAATCCAAGTGGTCGGTAATATATTCATGGAAATAGTATCAAAGTCTCTACTACTAGAGAAGCAATCATAAAATAATTTTCTTGCCAAATCATGCCGAACGGATTTGAAAAACATGCAAACGGACAAAGTAGCTGTCAAACCAAGCCTTTCAACGCAGAAGACCAAATTTCCGGGTACATCTTAAATACATAGATTTATATGCCGTTGGAACAGTCGCCCTCTACAGACTTCCGGCTTGATTTTTGCAGAATTCCTTGCTCAACCAAAACTGCTTAGACGGACGGTTTTGTCCTCTTTGCAGCCCCCAACTCAAGTTGTACGCTTTGACTCACAGGACCAATTTGAAAAACTCCCATTTGGCCGGTGACTGCAAACCTTCCTAGGTTGTGTAAAGACTATCTCTTCGAATCTGTTACTTGACATAAAATACTTTCCATCATGGCTTCAATCATGGAAGGGTGTGAAGAAGGATAAACAATTGCGACAAAGACATTAAATGAGAGAAAGGGAGGAGTAAAAAGAGAGAAATATAAAGGAGAGGGAATTTTTAGTTGTAGCTTTAATGTTCTGATAATGAGAAAGGATAAAATGATACTATTAGAATTGATCAAATGATATTACCTTCAATTTGTGAACCACAATAGATTCAATCAGACATTAAATCAGGAAAAATAGCCTTAAAGGCAAAATGGTCCATATTCCTAAATCAGATTGTTAGGCTATTTTTTCAATGCCAATTTGTCTTACAATACCCTTATTTCCCTTTTTTATGAGTTTTTAAATATATTATATTTATCATTTAGTATAAAATTATATTTATTTAAAAATTCTAAAATATTACCTAATATTATCTTACATTCCTATGGTTGATATAAAAATTTCTTAATAATTTTGAAACCTTTTATCAAATTATAATTTATTTATTTATTCTTAAATATTTAATTTTTAAAAAAAATTAGTATTCTTTTAGTTTTATAAATTTTAAATTTGTGTGATTTATTATATAATGATTAAGTCACATCACCCCTCCTCTCCTAAATGAGGTGAATCTCCTTGTAAAAGACACCACATGACATCTTTTAGAAAGGGATGCCTCTAACTACCTTTGAGAAGGGGTGCCTCTAATCACCTTTGGGAAGGGGTGCCTCTAACCACTTTTAGGAAGGGGTGACTATAACTACCCTTGTAACTACCTTTGAGAAGGGGTGCCTTTAACCACCTTTTCCCTATCCTTCTATCTCTCATTTGTAAATAACTTCTCCTCAAATTTTTTCACCTCTCAAGTCTCATAAAACTCAAAAAGACTGAGGGGGTTATTTTTCTAAGTTCTAAAACCAAGGATATCTCTCCCACCTCTTGAATTAGGGCTTTATCTTCCTCTTCTTGTCCTCTTGGATTAGGGAGACCTTTCTCTTTCTTTCTTCTCTCTTTGGAATAGGAGAATCTTGTTTCTTTTTCTTCATTCTCAACCTCCTCGTTGTTGACTTACATCCTTTCCTCCTTCACTAGAGAATCTTATTTTCCTGTTGGGACATTTTTAACAAGATTTGTGGAATCTTAACAAACAAGAATCTTCAAGACTCAAGAATCTCCATTGCAAAAGTGTGTTGATTTTCAATTTCTTATGGAGTTGGTCATTAAACTCAAATCCTTGCTCTTAGAACTTGTGAAGACCATGATATAGCCACCTTTGGTGATCTAAGCCCTAGTTGAGAAGTCTCGTCTGATTCCTTGAGTTACATATCTTAAACATGTAATTACTGATCTTAAATCTTCCTTTAACTTGTGTGATCTTTCTAGATATTAAGCCCCTCACAGTTCCTACCAAAATCAATCCTAGAACTCCAATGTCAATTCTTCTTTAAAACGATCTCTCCTTACCTCCCTGTCCCGCATCAAAACTCTCTATGTTCTTTATTGTGATGAGTGAGAGAGAGACTATAGTGGACTCACATAGAAAGAAAGGCTGACTTAGATAAACTCGTACATAGAGCAATGATGAGGGGCTTTTAGGATTCACTTAAAAACTAAACAGAAGAATGAAACATAAACCATAGGAAACCAATTCACCCCCTCCCCTCCTCCCTCTTGATGTTCTACTTCAATGTTCCCATAATTCAATGAAAGGTATGGTCAGATCCTTTGTCCTTATGTGTCACCACAATTTTGTATTGTTGGGAAGATACATGCTAGCCAACATGACTTTCTCTATATGTAGTATATGTATCACTTAAAAATAATGGTCTTAGTCTCATAAGGAAGTTCTTCAACTCCTTGTCATTCTTAACACTTACAAAAACCTTGGGTTTAGGTATTTTAACTTATGTACTAGCATCATCTTACATCTTTGGGAGAGAAGGCTTTTGTAGACATATGTTTGCCACTAGAGCTTCTATAGAAGCCTTAGGTTCTTTCACATCAGCATCATCAGCCCATGATGCTCTCAATGGACCTCCAACGTGTATCATTGTTGGCTCCATTGCATTCTACCATTCCACCATGGCTTAGATGCTTACTTCTAAGGCTTTGATGGTAGGGAGAATATGAGGGATCTTCTCCTCCAATCAAGTGATCATCCGTTTGTTAGTATCACTAGCATTAGCATATTCTAATACCATTTTGTCACATGGGACTTTAGGTTTCCTAACTTTGTCTTATTTGAGATTGATTTCAACCATTACTCTTCTGATGTCAAGTAGCTCTCTATGTCACATGCATAACTCACCAAGATCTTGCAACGAGGAAAGGACACTGACATGACTCAATCGTTATATATTAAATCACGCAAATATAAAATTTATAAAACTAAAAAATATGAATTTTTGAATATTTATAAGTATTTCTAAATAAATATATCAATTATAATTTAATAAAACTTCCAAAAATAATAATAATTTTCTAGGTCAATCATAGGGATGTAATATAATATCTGGTAATTATTCCAATTTTTTCTCAAAGAATACTATTTTCTATGAATTTTATACTAAAAATTGAAAAAGAAATATATTTAAAATTCATGAAAAAAGAAAATAAGTGTGCGAATGTTAGGATGACATCAGCACCCGGTAAACGCGAATCAGACGAAAACAGAGTTCCACTTAGTGATTCTTATGTAAGTAATTACAGATGATTTAATTAATCAAATTAAGATCTATAAAAGCTAGAAGAATCGTAATTGAACAAGATACATTTTAGTAAATTAAAAACATAAAAATTATCACTAAATGAAGTATAAAGTAAATTAAAAGTAGGAAAATAGAGTTCCGACGTCGCGACGGAGATGCGTCGGCGATGCACCAGAATCTTAAGCATTCGAGAGGATCATCGTGCAATGTCCACGGCCTCAAAGGCTCTTCTTAGGCAATCTCTAAGTCTTCTCACAAAGTCTAGAGATTAATGAAATAGGTTGTCGAGTCATCTCCAGTGGTTGTCACCCGGCGGAGCGAAAAAACGGCAACTTTGTGGCTCTCTGGCAGCTGTCACTCAACAGAGAGGAGCTAGATGCACGTGGGGTATATGTCAAGAAGCTTCATCCTCAGGTTCGTGTAATAAGAGGAGGTTCTTCATCACATCTGGTATGCTCTCAGGAGGTGGTGACTCGTCTCCCAACGGATCGTCCTCTTTCTGACGACGACTTGTTCGTCGATTAATTAGAGATGATTTACTCGATGGATTCGCAATCCTTTTATCGCAAATCCTTCAGCAATTTTAGTAGCAATGCTCTGTGAATTGCGTTGACGAGATTTTTGCAGATGATCTAGCGATTCTCATTACTTAATCCTTCATCGACGATCTATAGGAAAGTCACAATAATTAGATGAAAATATATAACTTTTGACTCTAAAAGGACTCGAAACTGCACTAGTCGCCCGCCTCTTTTGAGGAAGGTGTGACGCAGGTTTAGTCCCACATCGGTTGTGTGCCAATTTTTAGGACAAATATATAGTAATGTTAGCTTTTTAAGTAAAGTTCCTTCTCTCATGTGTATGACCACTCCTTGCCCCACAGCCGGCTGGCCACTAGTGACGTGGAAGGGGAGTGGCGCACACGTGCCCCTATCTATCAGTCCAAGCCGCTCGAGCCCCTATTCGCGGCTACTCCTCAATTATGCTTTTGACTCACTTGTAGGCTTGGCTAGCCCGCAGATCCTCCTATTTTGTAATATTTTTATTTTTATTTCTTATTCTTTATTTATCTTAAAAGTAAGATTGTAAAAATTATATAAAATTATATAATTACTCAAAAATTCACGTTAATCAACTAAAAACCACTTTTCACACTTTAATACAAATATAAGTTTATTTATCATGAGTTAAGGCTAAAACTATATTATTTACTAATTATTAACTCATGATAATGAAGACTTATTAGACACTAAGATAGTTGTATTACCTCAAGAATTACATACATAAGAAGGAGAAGAGCCCAACACGAATCATATTCTTCTCTTCTCACCTTACAACTCTCTCTCAGCCCACCATTGACTACTCTTCCACTATCGTCACACTACAACCTCCTCAACTCTTTTTGAGCGCTCCCCTTCTTGCTCATAGGTTTTCCTTCTCTTACAAATGAGGGTCTCCCTCTCTCCTTCTCTCTAGCTTTCTCTTCTTTTGTCTTTTGGAGGGCAGAGTTTCTCTCATTTTATAGTGGGAGAGGCCTGAAGCACATTATCCGTTTATATCCTTTTTCATTTGCTATCTTTTCGTATATACCTTTTCCTTTGTTTGCCTAAGGGATCCTTAGATCTTCTCCTAGATTTGAAGGCATCCTTCCCGATCTGAGAAACTCGTTCGGTCCGAGTTTCTATATTTTGTTCACACATTCCCCCTTGCCACACGCCAGGTAAGTTGGTTACGAAATCGGGCCGGAAGGAAGAAGGGGGCGGGTGGGGGTTTGCCACGTCAGCAGGATGAATGCCAGATGGCAGCAGGATAGGTAGCCGTCAAGCTTTGTTGGGGCCCGTCGAACGACCGGCCCTTCGGACTCCCGCCATCGTCCCTTCCCCTGATCCTCCTGATCGAGCGAGGTAGATTCAGCGGCGACGCCAGAAGGAATTTTCTCGGTGGCCGGAATTCGACGTAAGGATCTCCGATCGCCGCCTCGCGGCGGCGGGGTTTGCCGGAGAATCTCGGGAATGACGGTCGGAGCGGCCAGATTGAGGCTGCCGGTCGGTCTCTACGCCGGCGACGCTGCGTCGCCGCCTGCTCCTCCTTGCTGCGGGAGACGGCGGCTCCATCCTCTGCCGTTCGGCCGTTCCTTCTCACTAAGCCACTCTCTAAGCCAGACATTTGTTGGGCACTTGACCTCCACCATTCCCTCCTTTAATCGTCCGGGGGTACTGAAACACAGAAATTGAGGGTTATGGACATTCTGATCGCAGTACACTCCTCAGAAATCTAATAAACTAAATTAATCAGAGCCCGTTTGTGTTCTGTAGACCGAATTATCTGTGCATGTTCCAAGAACATCCATGGTTTTTTTTAATCTGATTTAACCTTATTTGTTTTGGTGTTCCATGCCACTGGCCTGTTCGAAATATTGATCGAGAGTTATCAGCAAGAACTCTACCCCACAAGTCTTGTAATTATGTTACTGATAACTGCTGGCTGGAAGTGAATGATTATCATGTTTCCTTCAACAACTCTCATACTTGACTTGGCAATTGAGTTATTTTCTTATATATTCCCGGACACTTTTCCTCTCCCATTAGTCTTTTTAATTCCCCCTGCCACCAGTCTCTGCACAAGCTTAGTTCCTTTCTCCTTGAGCCCCTGTTGAAACAGCAGGGGACACGCGGGTTGACGGATTCATAGAGGGGAAGACTGGTTTCGATCTGTATATAGGACGCCCCTTTTGCTCAAGTTCCTTGGTGCCTGAGGAGCTTCTGCAATGGCGGGAGGGAGTTCTGGGAGGAAGATGGATCAGACGCCCTCCTGGGCGGTGGCAACAGTCTGTGCGGTGATCGTTATCATCTCGCTGCTGTGGGAGAAGGTGCTCCATCGCATTGGGAAGGTGAGTTTCTCCACATTCAGATCCTGCTGAATGAATGAATGGTTAGAGCTGGGTTTCAGGAGTTTGATACGCTTTTAGCGATTGAAGTATTCTTTTCTTTTTCTTTCGGGGAATTCCTGATTAGTTTGGTTCATTTAAATTTCAGTGGTTCTCTGATAGACACAAGAAGGCGATGGTTGAAGCTCTGGAGAAGATCAAAGACGGTAAGAGCCACATGTATCATCTCTATCTCATTATCTCATCTAACCATCAGCATGGGATCTCTGGATTTCCTTCGAAAGATTCACTTCCTCGTTTCTCTGGTGGATTTCAATGGTTTCCCTTTTATGTTCTTCCTTGTTTGGAACAACCCCACATCAGAGGAAGTTAATTAAAAAAAGAAAGAAAACCCTGAAGTTACATAGGGATGATGGGTCACAACAAGCAGTAGATTGGCCTCAAGTTACTCTTTTTTCTTGTTTTTGAGACTTGTGATGATTGATCCAGGGACCCTGACTCTGCATCAAGAATGACCCGAGATTGAAGGAATGGAATGGAATGGAACAAAGAAATAGAAGTGAAATGAATAAATATGGAATAAATGAAGGGAACATGTGACTCATGAAGCTTTCTCCTCTTGCAGAGCTGATGATTCTCGGGTTCATCTCCTTGTTGCTGACGTTTGGAGGGGACCATGCAGATAAAATCTGCATACCATTAAGTGCTGGGAACACAATGCTGCCCTGCCCCCTCAAGGAAGACAAGGCAAACGAGAAAGGAGGCCGAAGGCTCCTGTGGGAACTCGCGGAGGACATGGAGTCCAAGAGGAGGATGTTGGCTGGGGCAAGTGACTCTGCATGTTCAGAGGTATGTGGGACCACTTTCTTTGGGAGGGTATTTCATGATTTAATGGGGAGTTAGTTCCTCGCATGATAGTCAACTCAAGAGGCAGCTGATCTAATTTAGTCCACGGTCACCTCCATAGATGCTTCCACTGCTCTCCTCAAAAAATATATATTTCAATTTTTTTGTTTGTTGAGATTATGGGTAGTTGGGAGGAGGGGAATTGACGGGCAGTGGCTCCCAGTCAGGTTAAGCATCCAAAAATGGGTTTTTTCTTTTTCTGATTTCAAACCACCCTGAAAATTCAGCAAAGGACGAGGAAGCCTGTCCCCTTACCCAGCTTCCTGGGCAGCTTGCATTTCTCCAGTTGGTCGTCCCAAGAAGATCAGTAAAGCCACGGACTAACTGTTTCACCAATAAACCAAAAGTACCCTCCCTCTCCTCTCTCTCTGCCCATCAAAGTGGGCGGGGTGAGGGCTTGTTTGATCTTCTTCTCCCCAAGTTTAGATGAGGCGCATGTCCCAGGGTTTATTGATTCACTACTTTCTTCAACAGGGTAAGGTGGCCTTTATGTCTGGATACGCCATCCACCAGCTGCACATCTTCATATTCTTTCTGGCGATCTTCCATTTGCTCTACACCGCCGCGACCATGGCTCTTGGGAGGGCAAAGGTCAGATACTCTCAGCTGCCCCGCCATAAAATATTTCCAGGAATCTACAGTTTCCACGCCCAGAAACAATGCTAAATATTCTCATGTTTTTTTTTGTAGATTCGCGGGTGGAAGGAGTGGGAAAAGGAGACCTCATCGCTCGACTATGAATTCTCAAATGGTAGGCTCCTGGAATTTGGCGAAGTCCTGATTGCCCTGTTTTACTATCTCATTGATGGAACAATGGCCCGGTCATCCTGCAGACCCTTCAAGATTTAGATTTGCCCGTCAGACGTCCTTTGTGAGGCAGCACAGTAGCTTCTGGAACCGGATTCCTTTCTTGCTCTACATTGTGAGGATCTCTTGTTCTTCTTTCCTTAATGAACTTAGTGTGCTGGTTTTTTCAATGGTGGAGAAGAGCTGCCTAAGCCTGTTTAGTTCCATACTCTGGATGCCAAAGGGCTGGCCCGGCCTAATACCTAGCATCATTTATATGACCCGAACCTGGCCCGGGTCAGAGACAAATCTCCAGGTTAATGGGTTCTGGGGTTAGGCCCCGGCTGCCGAGGCCAGGTCTGGGCTTTCCAGGTCCCTTGATTCCAAGCACGAGACTTCTGCAGTGAAAGGATTTAGTCCAGCAAGATCAAATCTTCTACCTGTTCCTCATGCTTTGTTTCTGGAGGGATCAATGTTGATGTGTTCTGTTCTGTGACGGCTGTCTCATTTGCATCCCTCTTCAGGTGAGCTTCTTCCGACAGTTCTTTTGGTCTGTTCGCAAGGCGGATTACCTCGCCATGCGCCACAGCTTCATCTCCGTGAGTTCCTTCAACAGTGTGATCAATAAACAGCTTCATGTTTTTTACCCCCCCGCCCCCTTGTGACTGGTTCTTGCCTCACTGCCCTTGCAGACCCACTTGGCCCCGGGCACCAAGTTTCACTTTCAGAAGTACATCAAGAGGTCTCTGGAGGACGATTTCATAGTGATTGTCAGCATAAGGTAAATGATAGCCATGCTACCTTCCTCCTCTACGAACGTTGACGACCAGAGCCCAGTTTCCTTAAATCTTAATGAGAAATGGATGGTATTTACTGCGCCTCCCTAGAGCAAGAAAGTCTTCTGATCAGGGCTGCCGATGGGGCTAATAATTTCATATAACTGATACTACTCTGTATACAATCTTCCCAATCCTGTACATATGCTGTAACGTTACTTCGTCATCTCTGTTTCATCGTAGCTTTTACTTCATTTTCTCCTCACTGCTGTTCTACTCTGCCCATCTCATTCTAACCTGTTCTTTTCACATCCATGCAGTCCAATCCTGTGGGCTTCTGTCGTGGTCTTCCTGCTCGTAAACGTCCATGGTGAGTTACCACCAAGAAAGATTCTAACTACGGCAATCCTTCCTTGTGTTCCGGTGAAATTATCATCGCCGGCCTGACTGAGCTTTTCCCTCCCTTTCAGGACGGCATACCCTGTTCTGGATGTCTCTGGTCCCACTAGTGGTAGGAGATCTCTGGGACTGTAATTCTCTCTGCTCATCTGTCCTTCCAACTGTTGGGGTCCAAGCTAATCTGATTTTTGTGTGACTTTGCGCAGATAATCTTGGCAGTTGGGACAAAGCTCCAGGCTATCATCACGCGGATGGCCCTCGAGATCAAAGAGAGACACGCGGTGGTTCAGGGGATTCCTGTGGTCAGCTCTCCGATCGCCACTTCTGGTTCGGCAAACCTGGTCTTGTCCTATTTCTCATCCATTTCACGCTTTTTCAGGTAATCATAGGCTCCTCCTCCCTTTGTTGTGATCTAAAATATTGAACAATGTCGAACACCACAGGATAGAAATTATATCACTATTTAAAGGAAATAATCGGCCACTTTCCCACCATTATGATGACCATGAACTTGTCTGATAATCTGATACCATTGATCTTTCTTGCAGAATGGATTCCATTTGATCTACTTTTTGTGGATATGGGTAAGAATACATTTTCCTTTATCCCGGCACTTTGGTATTATTCTGAGTTATCCGCATCCTATTTTCGTGGATCTGATGTTGCCATTCATCTTCTTCGGACCTGCAGTATACGTTTGGGCTGAATTCATGCTTCCATGAAAGCTTCGGGTTCGTCATAGCAAGAGTTGTTATCGGGTAAGGGATACTTGATGATGGCACTCCATCTTCTTCTCAATGTCACTAAAGAAACATTCAAAGCACTGAGGAAACACATAAGCTTGAGATTTACGAGGCATCGGATTTCTCTGGTGTCTCACCCTTAATTGAGAAGAGAATAATACACAAACAAAAAAATTAGATCTATTACTGCTAGCATACACGCCTGCATGGTGACACATTCTCATCATGGTCACCGGGGTTCTCTCCAGGGTATCAGTCCAAATTCTGTGCAGCTACGTCACACTTCCACTCTATGCTCTCGTCTCTCAGGTATCCTCCTACACTGACTGCTCCTTGTTGTCCGCTGTTAGAGAAGGGAAGGGAAATAGTCTTCTGCATTAGGAGATTCTGCAAGGAAAACTAGGCATGAACGGGGGGATGACCAGCGTGTTTCCATCTCAGATGGGATCGCGAATGAAGAGATCCGTCTTCGATGAGCAGACCGCCAAGGCCATCGTAAACTGGCAGAACCTGGCAAAGAAGAGGCGTGGAGGCGGCAAGTCGTCGACTCACTCCCCTTTCCGGACTCCCACAGAGAGCCGCAAGGGGAGCCCTAGCGCCTCCCCTGCAAGGCCGCTGCAGAGATTCATGACCACTGGCCACGCGACGGCCATGACCACCCTTCCTCGGCAGTACTACTCTGACAATGAGCTCACGGACAATGAGCCCGAGGCCCCGCTCTTCTCGCCCCATCACACGGACTCCGCTGCGCCGGCGGAGCAGCGCCTGGAGGTGACCGAAGACCGGCGAAACCCCATCGATGACTTCTCGCTCAAGAAGGCCGCCGCCTCCTCCGGACAATCACCACCGGTCTGATCGTTCTGCGCCTCTTATCCGGCCATCCCTCCTGCCATCACACCACCCTACCCCCCCTTGTCATACTCGTATGGATACTTCACAATGGTCATGAAGCCAAAAGCTTAGAGGGTCAGCTTACTTGCTCGCGGGGAGCATTTTAGGGGTACGAGGATCAGGAGGGTGGTCAGGCAAGGGACGGAGAGAGTGAGTACCAGGATAAGGGGGAGATCCCCGCTAAGGAGGTAGAGAGAGAATAAACGAAGATTGGGAAGAGACTGGGCAGACACCCACTAGTAACCACTTAGAGGGGGCAGACCTCCACTCAACTTCTTGGGAACGAATCATCCTCTTAACAACCATGAGCCGTTTCCTTCCAATGCGAGCCATTCCTCAATGCCTACAATTGTGACATAAGACGGGAGAGGCGGCATGCCAGCCCTCAAGTTCTCCTCCTTGTGAGGATGTGATGGACCAGCCAGTAGCCCATCAGTGCTTCCCCCTTGAAGTGCCACCTTGTCCTTAAGGGGGAAGCTAGGAAACTGCTGACAAAGGTAGGTGACGACTTCTCAAGTTCTTTCAGAGTCTGGAAGACCTACCCAATGAACATGGATTTTGGTCACATGATGACCCTAGCGGATATTCATGATGTCTGTTGGCTCCACCACCAATGCGAAATCTTTGTCCATTGGCAGTTGTGTCGTGGGTGGGGTCATTGACGCTCCGGTATCCCGCTTGATTTGGGATGTGGAAGACCGGATAAATCCCCACAGTCAGTGGCAAGACACGCTGATAGGCTACAGTGCCCACCCTTTCCATGACTCCGAACAGCCCCAAAAAATGAGGCCCAAGCTTCTCGGATGGTCTGTTCCTGATCAGCATACACGTTCATCTGTTGTTGGGTGTGAGCTAGATGCTCCTTGAGCCGGTAGATTGTGGTTTTGCATTAATGTAGCATTTGTTTGACTTATTCGTCCACGCCGTACTTGCTTCATAGGGCAGGAGATATGCAGGAGGTTTGCCATACACAATGGAGAATGGAGTGGTGTGAGTTGACATATGGAAGTTGGTGTTGTACCAATGTTCTGCCCAAATGAGTCACTTGCTCCACTGTTGAGGTCAATTGCCTACAAAACAACGTAAGTACATCTACAAACCATAATTGACGGTCTCTATTTGGCTGTTGGTCTATGGGTGATAGGCATTCATCTAGTGAAGGAGAGATCCCTATAGTCTAAAGAGCTCCCTCCAGAATGTGTTTATAAATATCCGTCCTGGTCACTTAGAATTGATTGAGGGATCCCTTGTAGTTGGATGACATCTTAGAGGAAGACACAAGTGATCTCACTAGCTGTGAAGGGATGCTTGAACAATAAGAAGTGTGTATACTTATTGAAGCACTCCACAACCACTATGATGGCATTAAATCCATCAAAATTTGGAAGTCCTTTGATGAAGTTCCATGATATATTCTCCCAAATGTGCTTGGGAATAGGCAGTGGTTGTGGGGGATCGGCTGGTTGAAGAGTCTTGCTCTTGGTTCAGCTGATGGGTCCTACATGCAGTGACATAATTGCAAACTCCTTCATTCCGGCCTAAATAACATTATGACCCAGTCACTTCTATGTGAGTAGGAATCTCAAGTCCCCCTTGATCATTGAGTCATGGAATTTGTGAAGTAATTTTGAGATGAACTTGGAATTATTCACAATTACTAGTTGCATGTGATGGAAGAGGTAGTCGTGCTGCATAATTTATTTGGGTCACTTTTTCAGCTGTTTCTAGAGGTCTTGAAGGTGCACCAGCAAGAGTTGATACTCCTAGATGATGAGTGGTGCATCCAACCTCTCTAAGTGGTGTAGGTTCCCACTGGTGCCAAGTAGGTAATGCTTCCACTTAATGTGGCCAAGATGATGGCTATGAGCTCTCACTCATAGACCATCTTGGGCTGATGTAGAGATGAGAGAGGCTTGTTGAAGTACACTATGGGTCTTTGGTGTTGCATGAGAATGGCCATGATGCCATGACTTGGTGCATTGGACCTCCTTGAGATGTTGGAATGTTGCATCAACTTTTGGGCCCTAATTGAACAAGTCCTTAAGCTGCCGAATGAGCAGTCATATGATTGTGCGGTAGTGCACAATGAAGCATTGGTATTAGCTGTTCAACCCAAGGAAACCTTAGAGTTGTAGGGAGAGGTCATTATATGATGGCTTCCACCTTGTTACGGTCAACTCTGATACCTTTTTTTGAGCCTTAGTGGCCCAAGTATGCCCTTTGAGCCTCTCCAAATGATCATTTCTTTGAGTTAATATGTAAGGCATTAGTTTGAAAGATGTTGAACATGAGCCTCAAGTGCTCTTCATACTCTTCTCAACTTGTATTGTAGAGAAGGATGTTTAATAAGTTTTTATTATCATGAGTTAATAATAAATAAATAATTGAACTTTAATCTTAACTCATGATAAATAGATTTCTATTTATGTTAAATTATGAAAATAATTTTTAATTGGTTAATATGATTTTTTGGTTACTACTATAATTTTACGTGAATTTATATAATTATTATAATCTTATTTTTGAGATAAATAAATAAAAATAAAATATTTTTTTTAAAAAAAGGGGGACCCACCAACCAACTGGGCCCCCAACAAGTTGAAAGCACAGTTGGGGTGGAGTTGCGAATAGGCACTCAAGTGGCTATGGACTGATGGGGACACATGTGCGTCACTCTCCTTCTATGTCACTAGTCACCAACCAACTGTAAGATAAAAAGTGGTCATACACACATGAGAAAAGGACTCATTGATTCTCAAATCTCACATTACTATATATACGTCTCAACATTTAATGTATAATCGATGTGGGACTAAATCAGCGATCACACCTTTCTGGGAATGTTTTTGAAGATGTTAATATTGAAAATACCTCTTATTTATAACAATAAGATATCATGATGATGTCATTATATAAGGGTATTTGAGAACTTATTCTCTCACTCTCATATAGGTAGACGACTAGCGTGATTTAAATCTAACTAGAGCCAAAACTCATATTTTTATCTGATTAAATCATGACTTTCCTATAGATCATGAGTGAAAGATTAAGCTATCAGAATTACTTGATTATCAACAAAAATCTCATCAACGTGATTTGTAGAGCATTGTTACTAAAATTATTAAATAATTTGTGATAAAAAGATCATGAATCTAACGAGTAAATCATCTCCAATTGATTGATAAACAAGCCCTTGTTGAGAAGAAAATGATCTATCAAGAGAAGATGTGATGAAGAGCCTTCTCTTATTGCATAGACCTAAGGATGAAGCTTCTTAACATGCGCCCCACCTCCATCTAACTTCTCTCTATCAGGTGACAGTTACTAAAGAACTACAAAGTTGTCATTTTTTTATTTCTTCAAGTGATAGTTGTTAGAGATGATTCGATGACCCATTTCATTGAACTCTAGACTTTACAAGAAGATCTAAAGATTGCCCACATCGTCCTTGTCCAAAGAGAGCCTTCAAAACTGTGGACACTATATGACAATCTTCTCGAATGTGATTTAATTTTTTCAAATTACGATTCTTTTGACTTTTACAGATCTTGATTTGACCAGTTAAATCATCTGTAATTACTTATGTAAGAATTGCTAGGTGGAACTCTATTTTTGTCCAATTCACATTTATCAAGTGTTGACATCATCATGACGCTCACACATCTTATTTTCCTTTTTCTTGAATTTAAAATATAGTTTATTTTTATTTCTTAATCTAAAATTTATAAGAAATCATATTCTTTATGTAAAATTTTTAAATATTACAAAATATTATATTACATATTTTTAATTGACTTGGAAAAATTACATTATTTTTGGAAATTTTATTTAATTATAATTAATTTATTTGTTTAGAAATACTTCTAAATATCTAAAAGTTGGTATTTTCTAGTTTTATAAATTTAAAATTTATGCAATTTATTATAAAATGACTAAGTCATGTCAATGTCATCAAATAATATGATGACAAATAGGTGAAGATATTTGAAAAAGATTTAGTTTATCAAGGCTTGAAAGGTGGGCATCATGTTGGAAAGCCCAAATGACATGATGAAGAACTTCTTGTAGCCTTTGTGCATATAGAAGGCTGTCTTGGGATGTCTTTTTTTTTTTACTCATATTTTGTTGTAGTTTAAATGTAGGTCTAACTTGGAGAAGATCATGGTCCCACATAGTTCATCTAGAAGTTCCTCAATGATAGGGATAGGGAATTGGTCAAGCATGATGACTTTGTTGAGTGTGTGGTAGTCCACACTAAAACACTATAAGCCATCCTTCTTCCTCACCAACAAGGCTAGACTATGGTAGGGGCTGCTCAAATACTAGATGACCTTGGTAGTGAGCATCTCGTGGACCCACTTTGCCAACTTAGTTTTCCATAAATGAAGATATTTGAAGGGGATATTGTTGACAGGTTGCACCATTGGTTCTTACAAAATCATGGGGTCCACCTCATAGGTTAGCAAAAGGCAATTAGGTAGATTGAATATGATGGAAAATTCTCATCAAGGAAGCTTCTTGAGCTCAACATTTGTGGCTGCAGCTTGTTGTTGATGCTCAATCTTGAAGAGTTCAATGACAAGGTTGCTAATTTTGAGGACCTTGGACAAGGCCTTGAAGGGAATATTGGTCTTGGTCATTGATAACACGCATACATTCATGTGTGTCTACATCATTTATCTAAGATTCAATATATATATTTAGTAAAAAATATACATATTATCATTAAATTCCTACATGTTTATGCATTTCATACACCTTATCTAAATTCTCTATTTTTAGATTTTATTGGATTCTATGGATTAATCCTACTTGACTTTCTTGAAGTCAAGCAAATTATCTCTAATACTTATTTTTTTTTGAGTTATTGTGTAGAACAAAAGCAAATTTATTTTGGAGCTTAAAGGCTAGAGAACCAGGCTCAATGGAGAGCCCAAGGACTTGGGTGTAATTCCAAAAGGGTA